CTTTTTTCTTATACAACCACAATCATTCCCACTTTTCCACTTTATTCTCACTTTCTTAAATTCCGATCCAAGTCAATGCGGGAACAATTTTATGGGACGGAGGGGTATGTATCTTCAATGCTTTATGGTATTTTAAATAGATAACTTTCTTATTTACTTACCCACCAAAAGCTTATTACGTTGATTATTTAAATTAAACATACTAAACTTTTATTACTTTAGGTGAAGAAAAAGAATATCTAAATTGTGATTATGTAGACAAGTCAGTAGACCGAAAACAAGTATTCGAATCATTGACATTTGAGCTCCAAAATTCTTCAAGAACATAAGCTCTTCCAAATCGCAAGATAAGACTCAAGGATTGGAGTTTAACAATGTTGTTAAGTAATACTCCGTATAATAATGGAAATAGATTAATAATAGAAATAGATATATTTTCCCACGGTTTCAAAATCATGTCAATGAGATTTACATTCCCTACATGTATATATCTTTCTCAGTCACCTTGGACACTTAGAGCCTGTTTAGTAACCATTTGTTTCGGCTTGTCAGTGAATTTTTCACCAAACACGTGACTTTTGATTTGTCCATTGAGTTGTGTAATAATAAGATAAAGTGTACTTGGAGTTACTTTTCTGACTTTATTGGCTGAAGTTACAGTAGAGGATTATTTCAGCTATTTTTTCAAATAATTTTATTTTTATTTTATTAATAAAATATATTTTAAATATAATTTTTTCATAAATCAGCAGAATCAGATACTCCATCCACTTAAGCTAGAACTTCACAAATTTAAACACGATCAACTAATCAGCCGATTTTAGTATCACCAAACAAGCTCTTAAACTTATTAGAAGACAAATTCTTAAAATTGACTCATATTCTATGACAATCAACAAATCTCAAAGTTAGTTACTAGATAAAGATGGAATATATCTGATTAGACCCGTTTTTAGTCATCCACAGTTGTGTGTGGCATTATCGAGAGTTCAAAATAAACATGAATCACAAATCTTAATACATTCATAAGGAGGGGGGCATTACACACAATTCCAAATGTTTTCCTTAAAGCATTTTTCAAAACCTGTACGAAGTGTAAGTTTAATGCTTTATTACATTTTATCGACAAATTCAATTCAAACGAATGATGTCAATTAGATTTCCAAATATATATCCTATACTTTTTATATTTATTGTATTGACTTATGTTTTATATTTTATGTTATTTAGTTATTGTAGTTTTAATTTTTTAAATGTAATTTTTTTAAATTCTATATTTTTCATATTTAATTAGATGCATCAGATGTTCTTTCCCGTGCGTATGCACGGGTACTATACTAGTTTGTAATAAAAAACGGTACCGTATTTGGGATCGGTATACCATGCGCATGGTACACCTATCCCACGATATAATTTGCCAGTTCCGATGGTCACATAGCTGGTTCGCTTCACTTTTGTAGCGAAACATTTAATGCCAACATGCCCCGCCTTGTTCATGCTACCAATGGAAAAGATACCCTTGTGTTCCACTGTGCTTTTAGCCAGATACGGGGACCAAGGTGTGCACGAACGTTTGCAGAATATCTTTCTCAAACGGCAGAAAAAGATAATACAGGGATAAAGAGGATTATGGTTTTGGAGAACGGCTATAATGGTTGGAAAGGAGCTGGTCATCCTGCATGTTTGCTACTGTACTGAGGCCTTCTGCAAGAGTTACACGGAACCTGGGAGTCAAAGCATAGCTAAACCTTAACGAATACTACGTATTTTGGCACTTTAAGGAACATCTATTTCCTGATCTCTGTCAACATGAGAATGAAATGTCAGTGATTACAGTCTGATGCATGAACTTTGAACGCTCCTCATTTGTGTAATCAATCATAATATGCATTCATCTTAATTTATTGACGTCTCTCTGAGATATAGCTAGTGTGTAAATGTCAATTTTGTAACTCAGATTTGAATTTTCATTCGGTTTTTTACTATTGTGACAAAAAAAATGGGACTTAATTATTTGTAGGCTCAGTGCAGAAGCACTGCTTGCACAGCCCAGTAGACGGCCCTGGTAAAAAGCGTTGAGTTCTTTATTACTACTACTACATACTCTGTATTTTTTAGCTGGGCTCTTGAATTTCTATTAAATATTCATATATATACTACAGGTTTTTTTAAAAATGTGGGCCTTAATTATTTGTAGGCCCAGTGCAGAAGCACTGCTTGCACAGCCCAGTAGAGGGCCCTCAGTGTGAACATAAGTAGTCTATATTTTAGATCATATAAACATATACTTCGTATTATTCTAATTGTGCAACATCGAAGAGTGCTCTTCTCATCAGGCCGGCCTGACGGGATGCTCCGTCCGGCCGAGCCCATTTGGGCACCTTCCCGGTGGAAATTGTTGATGAAATTTTTTGAGCATGTTCCCCATCAAGTCTAGTTTGTCCATACCAAATTTCAGCTCAAAATTCGATCGGGAAGGCATTCAAATCATTTTTTGAAGTTGACTGCGTCAAAATATACATATAAAACTGTAGTCAACTTCACAAAAAGATTTGAATGCCTTCCCGATCGAATTTTGAACTGAAATTTGGTATGGACAAACTAGACTTGATGAGGAACATGCTCAAAAATTTTCATCAAAAAATTCCACCGGGAAGGTGCCCAAACGGGCTCGGCCGGCCTGACATGAACATTCCTCCAACATCGAATATGGTACATCTCTACATCTATATAAGCATGAATAATGTTAGGGGTATATCTACATATACATCTATATAAGCATGAATAATGTTAGGGGTATAATGGGAATGTAAAAAATGTTGGTGTCTCTCAAGACTTTAAACACTTGTACTTCATGTATAGTTTTTTCTAATCTTAAATAATACTCCAAAAGTTAACTTACGTCCGTTAATCCGTTTAATAAACACCAAGAGATGCTACATTGACTTAATTGCGTCCGTTTACTCACCCTCTGTTTTAGGTGTGGTGACCAAAAGTTTACATTCGTTTACTCACACCAAGGCTTTTGGTTTTTTATTTTAAGTTTTAAGATTTGCCTTGCTTTTATTATTTTCTTATTATTGTTTTTCTCCGGTAAAAAGAAAAAGGCCAACAGACCAATTTTAAAAACCATCCAAATTCTCGTAGAACGTAGTTTCCTTTTATATATTAACTTATTACGCTTAAAAGCTAGCATATTGATAAAGTCTCACACCGGTAAATTAAAAAGTAATAGAGTACTATATTAAGCTCTGAGCTACTCCTCCTAACAGGTTGACCTTTTAGGAGGAGTAGCCCAGAGCTTAATATAGTACTTTATTACTTCTTAATTTACCGGTGTGTGACTTTATCACATATTCACATATGTGATTATTAAACACAAGGGAAAATGCTTGTAAATAGGAGTAAAATTGAGAGAATGATAGTTATTTTTAGAAAAACGTAAAGCTTAAAAGGGAAATTTTTTAAACTCATTGTATTTATTTATTCTATTGTAAAAAAAACATGCTCACAATATTTCATAAAAAAAAATCCAATTGGAAACAGATTAGTCTGATATGAGTATTTTTACATTTTATTAATTGATTTCATTCATGGTTGGTTGTCTGATTTCTTAATTGTTGATTGTTATCTATTGAATTTTTGTGTTATAATTTGTTAGATAAAAAATTTCAATTATATTTAAATTTATGAATGTAATTAATTTCAAGGTGTAATAAAAATGATTGAACCTAAATAGGATAAAGGAAAAAAGAGGAGAAGATTAGTGGCGTTGAATAAACAAAGTTATATGTAAAAGTTTATTTGTGTAAAGAAGTCAAATTCTAAATGGCCTTCTTAGGATGATAACTCAGAGAAGAATAATTTAGCTACTGAAAATGATGATCACGTCATTGGAGGGAGAAATTTTTTAGGAGTTGATAGTATTATTGATTTACACAGAAGAGTGTTTTATGATTTTTTTTATATATGTCTTGAAATATTATTATTATGCATCTTACTTTAGACAGAAAAGAGTTTTACAATTTTTTTAAAAATTAGGCCCATTTTAATTCTTCGCCCATTGGCCTTCAAACATACAAGACCGGTCCTGACTATCAATACTTATGTTCATTGTGAAAAGTTTGTCCAATGTATTCCCTATTTTACTCTCATTATACGTTACATATGGACATATCTTCTTCAAACAATGTCAACATATTAGGTTAATAGATGTTTGATAAGAACATGAGGTTTTTTCTCTCATAACCAATCAAATACGAAGTATGAAGTAGTATTTTACGTTAGTCTACAATAATGCTAAGATGACATTGCAGCTATTAGCTTAATTTTTTACTCGATTTCACTAATCTTATGCTCATGCGCTTTGTGTATTTAATTTAGTTACCAAAGTTAGTGTTATTGGTGTGTCTATTTGAAAGAACATACATATATAAATGCTTGTTATGTACTAATTAATTGATGATCGAACTTTACCCTCCTAATTGCTAAAGTCATAACAAATATGTAGTATAATATGATTGGTACCGCAGTATATGCTTGTAATACAAGATCGAAGTTTTACTATTTAGAATCATTTCTTTCTAAATTCATTTCATAATAATATAATTTTTCTTAACATCATAAAATAATATGCTTCAAATGATCTTTGGCATTCACACACACGCGCATGGCGCGTTTATAAACTAGTTCATATTTATAAAGTTTGTTTGTCCCTTGCAATTCATACCAGTTAATATATTCTTTGTCAACATAATATCTAAAATTTAAATTTAAATTTAAATTTCACGTTATGTAAATACAAAGTTATTTGATAATACAAATCATATTTCGTTTGTGTCACTAAATCTCTACAAAATTATAAGCATGAATCAAAGTAAGGGTATATTGGGTATTAAAAATTTGTTGGTGGTACATCATAGCTTAATAAACTTGTACTGTGTGCTTGAGTCGATGTACTCGATTCTCTACTTTCCTCGTAAGTAAACGTCTGAACGTCTCTCCGTCTATCTACCATCCTCTTTAGGAAAACCTTTGGGCTCAATTCAATCTCTATTCTCGGTTATTCCTTTCAATTCCACCACTCATTTCACCACATTGATTAGGTTAGGGGCTGAGGATCGACCTTCGTCCGCGGGAAGATTATCGCCGACACTACTCACCTCCTTCTTCCCCTTTCATTTTCTTCCTATTGTTTTCATCGCGTGGCAGGGGTTCCGGGTTCTCTTCCGCTGCACAACACCGTACCCTTTTCCTGGTAGGCTTCTATCCCTTACAATATGTTTGTTGTATGTATTTATTCACCCATTTTTGCTAACTAACAAAATATTGTTCAAACAAAAGTATGTGCTTACATCAAGTGTTGTGCTCTTGGAGTTAGTGGAGAAATGTATGTTCGAACAATATCAAAAAATTATTGCTTGATCAAACAGCCTCTTGATGGAAGCTTCTGCTTCGCTCAACTACACCTTCAGGTATTTGTCCATGTATCTTAAGCCTTTGTTTAGCTGGAGAATTGTAGTTGGGAGGAGAAGAAAGTTAGAGAGTTGTGTGTTAGCTTAGCTACAGGTTGGAGGGTCTAACTTCACAATTTGGTTAATTTGGAGCTTGCTAGCTTCATTGTTATACTTTCTAAATTTAACCAAATGTTTTTTACAACCGAATTATTTCTAATATATTTCGAGCCCGTTTGGTAGCATGAAAATCGGCTGTTTTGGCTGATTCTGCTGAAATTTATGAAGTTCTGGCTGAAGTGGCTACATTGGCTGATTCTACTGATATAATAAAAAAAAATTTAAAATACATTTTATTAATAAAATAAAGAAAAAATTATATGTAAAAATAGCTAAAATTGTCATCTACAGTAACTTCAGCCAATACAGCCAAAAAAGTAACTCAAACCTTACTTTTTCTGCTTATTACACAATTCAGCGCGCGAAAGCAAACTTTACGTGTTTGGTGAAAAAGTTGGCTGATAAGCCTGATAAGCCGAAAATCATGGTTGCCAAACGGCCTCTTCATTGTTTATTTTTTCCTCAAGATTTTCAGTAGAAGATAACCGGAAGAGTTTGCTGGAATATATACTCGTAAAAGTTGAATGAGTTACTAATGACGAGTAACGGTGAGTTTGGTTCAACGGAGGGGAGGAGAAATATTTAATCTTTAGTGGATGTGTGGGGAAGGATAGGAGGGATTTTATACATTGTTTTGATAGAGTGCATGAGAGGGAAGAAGAAAATATTGGAAAATAGACTATCCTTCCGTTATTTTATTATTTAATACTGCCTCCGTCCCAGGGAGAAGTTCCCAATTTCCTTTTTTGGCAGTCCCAACAAGAAGTTCTCATTTCCCTAAATGGAAAGTTATTCTACATCAAAACAGTGCCAAACAGTGCAAAACAGTGCAAAACAGTGTCGAAACAGTGCCAAACAGTGTCGAAACAGTGCCAAACAGTAAAATTTACCCCCGGTAACTTTATTTCCTTAATATGTGTGAAAGTCAACCCGGGAACTTCTCCCTGGGACGGAGGGAGTAATAGAGAACGGACTTAATCAACCAATAATAGATATATGATATACTTTAATAAGTGTTCATTACATAATTATTTATAAATTATTACTTTTATTTAAAAACCATTATTGAATATAGTTAGATATGAATTTGGTCCAAAAAAATACTATGTATATAGTTCGATATGAATATGAATGTGTTCATTTCATTGCATCTACCATCTAGCATTATTTTATGCAGAATATGTTGAAGATGTGGACCTCTTGGTTAGGAGGGCAGAAAGATGCTTAGAAGCTGGGGCAAATATGATAATGAAGACGCAGATAAACTATGCGGGCGCCGTGATTCTGTCCGGGCGGCCGTGATTGCAAGAATCATCGGTCATCTAGGATTAGCAAAAACTATGTTTGAAGCATCAACTCCTCAAATTTGAGAATGGTTTGTCAAACAATATGCCCCCCCCCCCCCCCCCTCTCCCAGGGTATGAGTATTAATTAAAGTACTCAATTTCAATCATGTGAAAATTTCTTGAATCAGTTTGGTAATGCGGTAATGCCTATAATGGCTGAAGAGGCAGTAGCTGCTAAAATTTTGGTTTAAATGATTGATTTATCTAAACTAAGAATAGTTAAAAGTATTCGTGAAATAAACTTTAAGGAAAAAATATAATAAGGAAATTCAGATTTTTTGAATGATACCAGGTTTTTGTGAATAAACCTCACTAAGATTTCTTGCAAGATTTGAGTATTGCCAGTATTAACTTAATTTGTAAGGATTACTTAAATTTCTTTGATGCCAAACTGATATTTTTAGGTAGATGGCACATTTAGCTGCTGAAATTGAAATCCTTGGCAGTGTAGTTGTGTGTTTACCAAAATTAAGCTATAATTACAAACATTAACTAATTGTATATGTAGAATTACTAGAATATTAGGTGTTTTCAGATATTTTGACATTTCTTTACATTTTTTGCATGTCCAATATAAAAATTGTTTCCTGCATTTCTTATAGATATTTAATTTCCCCAAATTGTAGCTGTTTATTCTTCCATTTTATTGGCTGATCGGATATACATCCATTAGAGATAATTTCTTCACCAGGTAATTGCTAATTTGCTACAGTTTTCTTCTACTTCTCATAACATTTTTTCATGAACATTTCATCATGGTCTTTCTCAAATTGTTCTACTTTACAGAGAAACTATTTTCATTCATTCTTTAGCAGATAAGACAAATTTTTAAGCATCTAGGCAGATTATTTCTCAAAACAAAAGTAGCAGGTTATTGCTGCAGATTCTTTCTCAAAACATACTACTGCAGGTGATCCTTCCATAAGTGAATAAGTGCAAGGTATCAGATAAAGTGTGGTTTCAAATAACATAAATACATTTTTAAAGCATCATTGTAAATGTCCTTATCAGTTCAACTACATGTATGTTAGAGCTTATCCTTTGCAGGCTATTTTTAAAATCTCTAAAGCTACTGGAAGAAAAATAGCTACGATTCCTTATGAGATTTGAGTGCTGCCAGTTTTAATTTATTTGTATGAAATACTTAAACTCTTTTCAAAAAAAGGATGGGGGATTGGACATCAGCCTGGAATTTGAAGCTCCCACCAAAAGTCAAGCTCTTATTCTGGCAAGTAGCGATCGGGGTGCTTCCAACAGTTGATGTCTTGAGGAGAAAACATCTGCAAGTTCAAGCGGGCTGCCAGTTATGTAAAACAGCATAAGAGAACCCTCCTCACTTGTTTAGAAACTGCCCAAAAGTAAAAATGTTGTGGACTAAGCATGGGTTACCATCTGCAGGTGAAAGAGGGACTTTTGTAGGTTGGCCAAACATTAAGTACACATTATATGTAAAAGGGAAAAGGGGCAAATAAGCCCTCGAACTAATCAAAAAAGTGCAAATAAGCCCTTTTGTAGGAGGTTCCGTCCGGTCATCGTCATTTGGGGGGGTTCACGGTGGAATTTTTTGATGAAATTTTTTGAGCATCTTATTCATTAAGTCTAGTTTAGTCCTACTGAATTTCAGCTAAAAATTGAACCGGGAAGACAGTCAAATGAATTTTTGAAGATAACTGCGCAGTTAAACAACGCAGTATATTTCCGAAAATCATTTGAGTGCCTTCCCGGTTGAATTTTTAGCTGAAATTCGGTATGGCTAAACTAGACTTAATGAAGAAGATGCTCAAAAAAATTCATCAAACAATTCCACCGAGAACCTCCCCAAATGACGATGATCGGACAGAACCTCCTACAAAAGGGCTTATTTGCACTTTTTTGATTAGTTTGAGGGCTTATTTGCCCCTTTTCCCTATGTAAAAATATTTTTGCCCAGCTGAATTTTAGGTGGTGTACAAGCTAAGACTTCTCTAAATGCATCCTAAAATGTTTAGGGTATAAATGTTTTATTCCTTAAGAAAGAAGACTAAATTGGGTATAATCTTCTGAAGTTTTCAAGCTTTTCCATTTTTTCTAAAATAATTAGTTTTGCAGAACAAAGGTTTTCTTAATTTAACATTCTAAGTTTGGGTTATCACTCTCTTCTTTTAAGCTTGACATAGTATTCTTTAAGCGTAAAAGTTTTTCTTATTTTAAGCTCTTCAGCTTGGTTATTACTCTCCTTTTAAGTTTGACATAGTCTTCTTTAAGCTTAAAAGGTTTTCAATTGTCCACCATACATTGTTTCAGCATTGTTTAAGAATAAAACCTCCTCATACATAAGAAGAAATACATAGGACAATTGTCCACTTTGGTGAAATATGATAGGAGTAATAAAAAGAGGTGGAAACCAAGAGACTGCTATCAAAACTTAAAGATATTCAATTTTTGTCAGGTGGAGCAGCTTTGACTCTTTGAGTATGCAAAGCTAAACAACTAAAGTGCTAGATCACTACCTGCCCAAGTGCCTCCAATTTTCTTCGAGTAGAGCTGTGTACCCAAAATGATCTTTTCCCATACCACTATTGTAACACCGCCCCCAAGTATTTGTACTTTATCAAATTATGTATTGAACCCAAGAAATGAATAAACGCATTTTACGTGTTTGTGAATTTTTATCATTTCTTTTACGTGAATAGTAAAATTCACGTGGGGCCCACACCGGAAGCGGGGGCCGCCCGATATTATCGGGACCACATATTATATTCATTTGGGTCAAGGTAATATGTGTATAATGGTGGATAGCCTGGTTGGGCCATAGAAGTTATGCGAGTAACCTTTTGGGCATATAAAGCCCATTTATTGGTACCGAGGTAATATCAGATAAAAAGCCATAATAAATTATGGAGACCATCAAATTAAAATTTGGGGAAAAAAGCATTCATTCTTATAGCCAATAATAATTGGAAGAATGATAGATATTTCATTTTACCCAATAAAATGAAATATAGTGGAAACAGTCCGGAAAATACAACTTTCGGGGCCGATTGTACATCTCGGGTCACAAAGGGATGACCTCCCACATAAGTGGGGGCCACCCCACGATTTTGGTCTTGCATATATGCAAGGGGATCCGTATGGGAGCTGGGGTTGGGGGCTGAATGATGAGGAGACCAAGTAAATCAACCAAGGGCCCATCCCCACATTATTTTGGGCTATTGAGACAAAAGTGAGGGGTTCCCTCCACCCACCTTCAATCAGCTCGTCCAAGCCATCATCCTTGAGGAGAGAGGGACTGAAAATCACCATTTCCACCATCCCCATTCGAACCAAAGCTAAGGAAGAAGAAGGAGGGGAAAGAAGAGAGAAAGAAGGAGGAAAACTTGAGGATTAATAAGGTAATAACTCCATTAATCCCATTCCTTTTCTTTAATCTCCCAATATGGTTATGTAATCATGCTTCATACCCATGGAACTGTTCTTCACATTAGATGTGAAGAATGAGGGGCTGGAAGGTTGGTTCATATCCAAAATGAACTTGGAGGACAAAGTTGACGGGTTCGTCGGAAAATAACCTCTTGAAGGTTATTTGTGTTGATATGGGTTTTATGATGATAAAACCTTGTTATTAACTTGTATAAGGTATTTCGAGAACTTTCACGGAGTTGAAAGGGTCGCCGGAGTTGTCGCCGGAGTTCGTTGAAGTTCACCGGAGTTTCACCGGGGCTAAATCGGAAAGGCTAGAACTTCATAAGCTTCAATAAGGTGAGAAGACGGCTATATGCTTTATAACTTTTGCGTGAGGCGTGAGATTACCTAAATTAATCAATAATATGTTTTATGAATTGATTAATGGTATTAAAGCATGTGTTATGATATGTTAAGAACTATAACAAGGTTGGAAAGCATGAAAGGTAGGTTTGATTAGTGAAATGATTATAAATTGGGATGTATGATGTTCCAAGGACCAAAACAGGTATTTTTGGATCAAGGACTTCAAGGAGTACATGCATGTAAAATTTCACGTTAATCGGACTCCGTTTGGGCGGTCAAACGGGCGTTGACCGCCAAGTCAACCACAATACCCGACCGGGTATTGGCAAATACCCGACCGGGTATTTGCTGAAAAACTGCCCAGAGGGCTGCTGCCTCCTATACTCGATCGAGTATGGATAGGTACTCGATCGAGTATGCATGGAAAATTAGCCTTACGGGATGCTGCCTCCTATACTCGATCGAGTATGCATGGAAGATTAGCCTTACGGGTTGCTGTCTCCTGTACTCGACCGAGTATAGGTGGGTACTCGATCGAGTATTGGGTTATACTCAAAACGGGTAGTTTTTGAGTAGGTTAACGTGGACCGATCAGGTGGGACCCGTCCACGTTGGTTGCTAAGGATTGTTACATGACTATAGGACTAGGTATTGTCCATAGTTAATTGAATGAAAGGTTAGCCATATCCAAGTTAGGGTTGGTAAGGAATAAGGTTGAGGTTGAGTATCCTCGGGACGGTAAACGATCCCAAACTCGATGAGGTTGAGTATCCTCAGGACGGTAAACAATCCTAAAACTCGGTGAGGTTGAGTATCCTCAGGACGGTAAACAATCCTAAAACTCGGTGAGGTTGAGTATCCTCAGGACGGTAAACAATCCTAAAACTCGGTGAGGTTGAGTATCCTCAGGACGGTAAACAATCCTAAAACTTGGTTGAGGTTGAGCATCCTCGGGACGGTAAATGATCCTAAAACTCGGTGGGGTTGAGCATCCCCGGGACGGTAAACACTCCCGAAACTCGGTAGGATATTATGAAGGTAGAATGTAGCCCTTGAGCTAGGCATTCAGGAATATAAAGGGAAAGGTTGGGTAATGCCTTATCTCTAAAAGACTTTTTGTGAGAAAACGACCTACGGGTCAAGTATTTTACAAGTATATACGGTATGTATTATCTTGGGAAGGGGGTGACAATGGTTACACCTATAAATATATGTATCACCCTATTTTTGGGTCTCGTGTCTGAAACATTAGTTATTCCTCATATAGCCTGCTTGTCACTAGTACTTTCTATGGAGTACTGACCCCTTCGGGGGCCCTCACATTTTTCAGGTTAAGGCTTGAGACCTAATCCTGCACCTTTGCCCAGGGTGATCATCAATAAGGAAGACGTGGTTCGTGCTTCCATTCTCATTTAAAACAATGTAATTGCTCATGGATATTTGAACAAGGTTTTCAGTCAAATTATTAAAGGGTCTGCGTGCCCGTATTTGCCACGTGTGGCTAAGTATCAAACATACTATTTCCGCAATTGTTTGATTATGATATTGATGTTGATTGTATGTGTTTACTAATCGGTTTGGCAATAGAATCTATCGGACGCCTTGTATGATTTAATAAGAACGAACTACGTTGTTCTTATTGGATTGTACGGCGATTGTCTACGTGGCACGGACGCGGTCCGGGGCGTGACAACTATTGGAGATAAAGTTGTATATTCTAGGTTTCTTGTATATGTACCCAAAATGATTTTTCCCAGACCATTATTTTGAAATATATATTTTTGGTATCTTGTAGTTGTAGCTCTTAATAATTATATTTTTGGTTTCTTGTAGCTGTAGCTCTTTTGGGTGTTTGTTCTAATGTAATGCTTAAATGTAATATTTTGTTTAGTTTCGTGATAAATGATGTTCAATGTTTGCAGGTCATCTAGCGGCAATCACAGAACTCCAACAATGTAGTAGAAAGCTCCAACAGTGAATTACGAAGAAGAAAACAAGGAAAGTGTAAAAACTGGTATGAGATTTAATGTGGTCTAATTGTTTTCAAGTTAATACTCCATCTAAACTATAATCGAACAAATCACAAAACAACTATTACTTCCCCCTTTCATGACCCCTCTTGAAAATTAAAATCTAAACTCAATTCTTTGTGTTGTAGTTTTTGTTGTCAAAATCCGGTCATACATATATTGTCGCAGATTGTTGACAGTGGTGTTTGAATTCTTTGATTGTTTACTCCTGTGAGTTCCTGTGTCTTGTGAAAACATTATAGCACAAAGATCATGAGGCAACCATGCATGGTTCAGGAGAGTGTTGAGTTTAGGCATGGGAGGAGAAAGCACACCTTCAAACCCTGATTCTCCTAAGTTGTTTTAATGTAATTTTTGTATGCGAAGAATTATAGCTCTCAAGCATTACGTGGTCACCAGCATGCTCGCAAGAAGGAAAGAGGTGCATTGAAAAAGTACAACTTGATGGGTATGGCATTCCATAATCCCATGTTAAGGTCTATGGGGGTATACACCATGGAATTATGCATGGTCAAGGGAGGGTTGATGGAAATGGAAGTATAATAGTGACAACGTTTGGGAAGCCTCCTAATACAAGATTGTCTATGTCAGGGCTGCCTGATCCAAGGGTCAAAGTAGCAGACTCAACATGGCTAGGAAGCTTTTGGTTCAATCCTCAAGAAGCAGAGGAGCAGTCCTATCCTAATAAGCACTTTTGTTTAATCCTCAACCTACCTGTTACATGTAATCTTATACGTAGTATAACATTGTTTCAATGGAAATTGTTATATAGCCACCTAGAGACATGTAAAATGTCTATTATAATCCAATGCAAAACAATATATTGAAAATCTACATTCCAAAAATTCAATATTCACAACTGGAGCATTTTCATCAAACAACATCCAAAGCAACAACAAAGTACCCACTAAAATAAGAATTCCATATACTTTTTAACAAAAATTGGTGGAGTCCTAAAGTTTCCTTGGGCAGTCATCTTATCGCACATCGCGCGTGTAATAACTAGTATTTCATATTTATATTTACAAATTAAACATAAGTACCTTGTGATTGGTATCACTTAATATATTAGGTCTTGTGCTGACCTAAACATCTAATCTAATTTGAAAATTAAATGCATAGTTACACGTTTTTAATAATAAGCTATTTCATAATACTAATCATATTTGGTGTTGCATGGCAGTGGCGGAGGCAAAAATATATGGTTAAAGGGACCGGTCCTTAAGAAATTACATTGCAGAGGCCAAAGTTTAAAATATCAACATATTTTCTATAGATTAAAAGTATTTATATATAATATTTACTTAAGAATAGTTTTTCTTGCAGGGGGTCAAGGCCCCCCTCCAGCCCCTCTCTGCCTCCACCCATGTCGCGTGGTAACCATATTCATATAATCAGTACTTCAAAAGTTTGGCTATTTAAGATTTAGCAATTGTGACACGAGTCCACCAATTACATATGAGGTCAGTATCAGCCTTCGGCATAATGGGATCGGGCGGGAACAGGTTTTCCCAACCGATCCCATTTTTATATATATAAAGACTAGCGTTTGGTCGCGCAAGGCGCGAAAGGTTTTGCCCAATATCAAAGTAATGTTCCTTTTTTGCAAACAATTATTATATATGATATTGCTATGAGTTTTTTTAAATAGTGTATAGAAGTTTCTTATATTTCTTGAAAATAGACAAATTAATTAATTTTGACCCTATCAATTACTGTTCAAATATGTGTCTATACTTTATAAAACTATTTGATTCTATGAATTGCATATACTTATCATTTTATATATGAGTACCATCAATAACATCTAGGCATCTCTAGAACATTTTTGTACCATTATAAAAAAATAGCTTAAGCAAGAAATTGATGAAATATAATACTACGTACTTTTTAATCATACCTCAAGGATTCACAATAGGAATATCATTTTAGTTTATTACACGTTTTCAACATTAACAAGGGTCACAATAAAGAAAATTATAGGCTATTTTGACCAAACTATAGGGTAGAGCCGTGTTAATTGCGTATTGCAACTTATAAGAAGGTTTGAAATCATAGTAATTCATGTTTATGTTTTGAACTTAAGTTACCATAACACTATGTTGTAGTAATGAATAGTCATAGAGTTATGTAAATAAGTTTTATTTTAGTAATATTCTTATAAAAAAAAACCCTTAATATAACTCATACTCCATATAAAGGTTAGAACCAACAATTTTAAAGTATAAAGTATTTTAACTATTTAACAAATCTCAACCTCCCAATATAGCCGAAATATTTAATACGCAAACATTGGAACTAAGGTTTTCTTATAGAGGAGCACTTTAGAACTTTTCTTTTTTGAGATGTTGGGAGATTATAATGGGGAGGCGCAATAAGGTTGTGAACTTGGTGAGAGGAATTTGGGGAGAAATAAGAGAAAATAGAGAACTGAAATCCCGAAGTGTCATTGGAGATGAAGTCACGAAACTAACGGAGTGTTAAAATTCAGACGGCATGTAAGGGTAAATAAGCCAAATGAAAAGTAAGGTTCCACTTTCTAATAACAATGTACAACAACTTATGCTAGAGGTGTATTGACATAAATTAAAGGTACCAACCTGCATTCACTATTATATTGTTGTTAGATTTTTTTATTTACATTATTTTAAACTTTATGATATTTTAATTGTGATATTAGTGCTTCAGATTGCAAGTTACTTAATTGTGAATGAGGTACCACTTTTTGTAAACTCAACATATAACCTATGTAGCACCGATACCGGTACGCGGAAATGCGAAAACGGGTACAGGGATACGTCAAAACCAAAAAAAGTAGGATTCAGATACGAGGCCATATTTATAAATATTAAAAGTTATGGGGGTGCATTTACAAATATTAAAAGTTATAGGGGTATATTTATAAATATTAAAAATAGATTTTTTTAATATATATATGTGTGTGTGTGTGTGTATTTATATATATATACACACACACACACACATATAATATCCTATGATGTCTACTCATTCATTGCATTGAAGCATTTTCCTTTTTCAAGATACTTAGTAATAAATTCATAATATCTCTCATATACACTAGTGCATCTCGAAATATAAATGCAGTCAATAAGTCATTAATTTAAAATGGGAAACAAGTCAAACAACTAAAATCTTGAAATTAAAAGTGCAAGTACCTAATTCGGAGTATGAGTTAATGACTTAATTCGGATATAACCTCATAGGCCCATTATTCGATTACCAAGTAAAATGTAGTTTTAGATTTTTAGAATTTTATTAAGTAAATTTTGGGGCTTTTTTTAAATAAATAAAAAAAGTTGATACGGGTATCCGTCAGGATACGAGTATCGGAAACTTTCAAAAAATTACAAAAAAATGGAAATGTTTAAAAAATTGCAGATACGGCTCGGGAACGTACGGTATGGATATCCTAGAGTATCGGATACGGGAACGTATCCGATACGCCGATACGCTACCCTAGGGATGTATGACATGTATCCATGCTTCATAGCATATAACTAGTCATTGACCCGGGCCGGGCCGGTTCCGGTTCCGGGCCGGGCCCGGCCGGGCTTTTTTTTTGGGAAGGAAGGCCCGGGACCGGCCCGGGTAGCCACCGGGTCCGGTCCGGGTCCGGGCCGGGCCGGGCCGGGCCTCCGGTTCGGTTATAATTTTTTTTTTTTTTTTTTGCTTTCCTAACCCCCCCACTCACCCCCACACCCCCCCAAACCCCCACACCCCTCCTAACCATCAAGCCCAACTTGGCTAACCCCAAAAAAAGAAAAAAAAATTAAAAAAAAATCAATTCGGCCCGGGCCCGGGCCCGACCCGGCCGGGCCGGTTCGCCAAATTCAAGGCCCGAGCCCGGACCCGGCCACCCCACCGGGCCTAGGCCCGACCCGGACCCGGACCCGAGAACCGGGCCGGTTCCGGGCTCGCACAGTGGCGGGCCGGGCCGGTCCCGGGCCGGGCGGCCCGAACCGGGTCCATGCCTACATATAACAATGGCATCTATGAAGACTGGATTTCAAGCTACGCTCCTCCATTTCCAAATATGTGCACTTACTATCAAATAGACCATGTGCATTCTCAAGACTTGCATTAACATGTGGACAGTGGACATCCTTATGAAACAAGGAGTATATTCTTACAAATCCATTCAAAACATAGTAGAAGCTCAATTCCAACGATTGTCGGAGCAACCCTTGAAGAAAATGATAGCAAAAGCTGGAATTGCTTGTTATGTCAATTTTTCAGTCTTAACTTTGTATAGTATCAGGAATTTTTGTATCACTTTGTACCAGGAATCTAATTATTTCAATTAGCACATCTTTCATTCAAATTTAAATTTTAATTTTATTGATTAATACTACGTAGTTACTTCAATTTAGCAACAACGAAATTATAAAAATAAAACATCACCCAACTTTCTCATTTATTGGAGTTGAGAGTAAATTATTCACTATCATATGTAGTGACAAAGCAAGTGATAATAGAGTACATCATTGGTAACTCCTTCATAAACTCACCTATTTTCTCACTAATTGGGGAGTGAATTAGTTACCCTCTATATGTGTTGCCAATGTATTTGGCACCAGGAATAAGGCACCACACATGTTTAGTGATATGATGGTGAGTGATCTATTTTGTCACTATTTTATTTTGAGTGACAAACTTAGTTACTAATCAGTGATATTTTTGTATGTGGCACTAACATATAAACATCACTAGAAGTGGTCAGTGGTGTACTGGTGTGTATAGTCTTGTTTTAGAAAATTTTTAAAATTAATGATACTGTAGTAGTATTGAAAAAACCTTGTTTTTGAGTTTGTTTTTGAAAAAGTAACAATGTTATATGCAAAAAAGATGAATATAAAGGAAAAAAGGTTTAGCAAATTCATGTAAATATAATTGATTTGCCCAAGCAACTATTTCCTTCCACCTATGGATGGACCGGGCCTTGGGCAGGTCTGGGTTTGGGAATTGGAGGCCCGGTACCGACCCATGTAGGTTCCAGGCCCGGGTCAAGTCTTATTTTTTAAAAAAAATGCATTTTCTTATTTTTTTCCTACCTCCCCCCCCCCCCCCACCGGCCACCCCCCCACCCCAAACCACCCAACCCCACCCGCCTAGCACCCAAATGACTCAATCCATTCGAAAAAAATTAAAAAAAAAAAACACATTTTTGGCCCTGGCCAGTCCACTAAATAGCACACATGTAACCCACCCCAACCCACCCCCACCCCCTGGTTCGGGCCCAAGGCCCAGTCCCAGTCCCAACCAGCCGGTTCGGGCGGTACCGCACAGTGGCGGTCCGGGTTGGGTACTGGGCCGATCCTACCGGGCCAGGGCCATGCTTACTTCCACCTATACACTGGATAAAAATGAACACATTCCTCTTTTCTGAAAGTTATCATCCATTTTTCATGTAAATTAAGATGTTTGCAAATGCTTAAAAAAAAGTACTCCCTTTTCAGCTTTTTGCTAAAAAAGTCATACTGATTTCTTAAATTTTTTATACATTTTTATAGTAATTGTTTCAGAAAAGTTTAATAAATTCAAACAAACTAAATACCCCATACAGCCATACATAATACAAAGTACTAAAATTAATTAGAATTGAAAACAAAAATCATTATATTTTAACTCCTAAATTGATAATTTTCTATCATTTGAGTCCTATATTAACATTTTCATTTTTCAAGTCATTAGTTAATTGATTATCTTGAATTAAAGAAATTCCTATTTCTGTGTGCTAATGCGACTATACTAGGAAGTAGGAACCCCTGTCCTAGGTCATATCTTCAAATTCAATAACATGGCAACCATGTATGGCCTTTGCTATTCATCCCACATTCTCTTTGGCCTTGGTATTGCTGTACTATATACGTAAGTTCCAGTCGTAATCACAGTTTGTTCATAACCTTCATACATCCATATTAACAGAACTGTGGGATTAGAGATCGAGATACCTAGTTAGAATTTGCAATTTCTTAATAATTGGTGATAGATATATGCAATTATGCATACATCTTCACATGACAGTGTTACTTTCTTGCTTCTTCGCATGTCCATGCCAATGAAGAACACGCATCAATCTTCCTCGTTATTCAAATCATCGGCTAAAGCCAAGGTTCTGAAAGAAATGACAATGCATCATCAGGTCTATAGTCCTTTATAAGCTTAAACATACACAGAGAAATAGTCATGTTGGTAAAGGCAACTTATAATTAACCAAATTTTATCCTATTTATGTTTGTCAATTTACTATTAAAAAAATTATAGTTCTGTTTGATCGAATATGACTTTTATATTTACAAAAAAATGGAAGACCTTTTTTCTATAAAAAACAAACTTTTAACACAAGGCTTTTTTCGGAACCTATTCACAGGAATCTAACATACCTCACACGGCTAAAGCAGAAGCTGACGATGCGTTTCATTTTCTTGTTGTAGAAGAAGAAGTGGTGCGCCCATCTGCAACACAAACAAACATTATGCCTCACCTATCCAAGTTTCACCTGTAATCAACAAACTCTTATTCCATTCAGACTATCAATATGTACAATTCAATGATCAATCTCCAATTCTCCATCCAACATTATTAATAGGTGAGGGCTATACTTGTCAGAGTTCATGCATTAATAGGCTCTTTCATCATATACTAGGTACAAATCATGATTTCAGTATAGGGATTGTCCTCGAACAAGAATCCGTAAGATTTTAATGAATTTTAGAAATCCATTAAAATCCAGGTGTCCTTGATTTGGAATTCCATAGAATCCATCAAATTTTAGGTCTCCTCGAGAACAGAGAAAATAAGAAATAGGTCAGTCAATAATTGGCTTTAGATATTTGTTCAAACTCATTTTACCTATTTATTTCTATACTGTCATCGTATGAATACTTAAAATCTAAATATACTTAAAATTTTAAAGGATGGTTCGTCGTATTATGCTTTCCTTTCTATTTTCCAAGGTAAAAACATATATTAGAAAATGAGTTTTCATGCCAGATTTTTTCCTAGTTATTTTTTGAGATCCAAATAATAGGATAACTCGGAAAGCACATACAAACCCAATAGCTTTCACGACAAAATGACAAAACAAAAGGACAATATGGGGACCAAAGAGCACAAGTCCTATGAAAGTAAAACTTACAAGATTCCATTTTCATAAAATTCAGCCTCGGGATTGTAACTATAAACTTCACATTCAGATAATTGCACAGCCTGCAACCATTATATGTCAATATTTGAGCATAATACCCATATACACATCTCATTGTTTTTGGTCAAAATAAACACACCTCATCCAAGGCCTTGCGCAAGGTCTCCATCAGAGAACTGCCCTCATTTGTCTTAATCCATTCCTGCAATAAAAAATTCAAAAAAGTACCTAACCTTCTAAAACAAACAACTTAATCTTCTACCTCATTAAATCATTCACCAATTAAAAGAAGAAATAAGGGATTACTCTACAACCCAAGTAAGTTCATTGGAAGAACCATAGAATCGTACTACCTTCGATGCCTCAACCATGAAGTTACCGAATGTCTCCGTAAAACTGTCCCAATTTTCTTCAGTAAAAAATTTGTGAGCCTCTGCCCTGATAAACCAGAAAGTTGGAAAATTTTGGTATCACAAAAAAAAATCACATAATAATCATAGAGCCAAGTGGACGGATTTTAGTTTTGGGAAATGGATAGACTTGAACTCTCAGCTCCACCCAGAGCAATACTCATCTAAACTGTCTGCCAAACCTTTTGGCAACTCTCCAAAGGCTGTAAGATTGGATTACAGAACGGGATGCCATATCGCCCAAAAAGCTGACAGTGGCATTACCCATAATCCTACTTCTCAGCAAGTTTAAAAAAATAATCTACATACAGAGTTACCTGATGTCATGATCTGGATATATTTGATTCAGCGTAAGGAGTAGATAAACTAATGTCTTTCGTCTGGTATACAAATTTCACAAATATATTATGACCCGTTTAAATAGATACAGAATTAATAACCCAGCCAATTAGTTTGAATTCACCACCTGGAACGATAACATAGATAATCAACCGGTGGATGGATATCAAGCATCTGGGAGAGGATCATATGGATTGCCAAAGTTTAATTCAAAGAAAATGATTAAACTGCCAATGGGTAATTATCCTATAGGAAGGCTACTTTTACAACACCTACATATGCAATAGAGATACAACAACAATATCATCATCATCATTCATCATCATAAATGTATTATTTCCATAAGCGTTCAAGGTCGACTAATATGAATCAACATATGATCAGACTTGAAAACAATTTTAAATAGAAAAATGGGGGGACGAGGATACAAACCAAAGCAGATCAAACCTTCACACAAATATTCTTCATCCACTTTGCTCTCTCCAAAGCTATGTTCTCATCGAAATCAAGAAGTGTCATATCATTCTTGATCACTCTAATTCACGTCTGTCTAGGTCTTCCTCTTCCCATCTCTCAATTTTTTTAGTAGGTGTGTCACTTGATCTTTTACACAGATGGTCAAACTACCGCAATCGAGACTCTCTCATCTTATCTTTAATATGTGTCTACTCCCACATTTTGCCAGCTGTATTTTTTAGTATGCTTACACGTCAGCGCAACATGCACTCATATACTCGATTTTGATTCGACTCAGCCTGAAACCTTACTCTACGGGATTCTTCGCCTTATTTCCAACATCGCTTCAAATTCTAGTCTTGTCTCATCAATCAACATAATATTGTCGGAAAATATTATCCACCACGAATCCACGATCCTCTTAGTTGAATTCATGAATTCATCCATGACTGACAAATTCACAAATATGAAAGGACTCAGAGCTAATCTTTGCTGCACTCCGATAGTAATAGGCAGCAAGCAGCTTCACATGTAATATTATAATATATATATATACATATTAATATATTACAAATTAAATTAAATACTCCGTAATATATTACATATCAAATTAAATATTAGAATTATGAAACAAAATAAAAGAATAAACTAGGTGGGAAGATATCTGATAGTGTAATTAATTATCTAGAACATATTTTCAATATAGATTTCCATAATAAGATTCAACAATAACTCTTACCTTTTGCAGAAGTCAGGCTATCATTATCCATGCCATTGACATTGACAACAACCAAGTTGCCAATGCAATCCATATGCATTGCACCAAATTTTGGGAATCCCTTTTCACTATCTCGCGCATTAAGAAGATTCTACATCAAGATAGCATTCTCATCTGAGTTATTCCTAAAAACACTAATAGTGTAGCCAAATATATAAGTATGGGTCATGATGTAAACTCTTCCCATTTCCAAAATGTACTTAAGTTTGATGCGACTGGCTACCCTTATGTCGCTTAATTCCCTTCGTTGGGTGGTAGGCTTGGTTTTATGTCCTCCTACCATTACTTATTTACTTCTGCACCTTTCTTTTGCTATTAATACATTTTATTTTGTTCTTTTTTTAAATCTGAAAAATAATGAAAGTTTAGCAGATGCTTGTTAACATAGATTGAAAGAAATGTTTGATGGACTCCAATGGTGCATTAAATAGTGTACAGTATGAAAAACGTAGAGAGTCCAGCCAAGCAAAATCCATTTTTCATTTTCATTTACCCCAGTGCCGCAAAGGCTCCCACCTACTGTGGGGTAAGGGGGAGTCAGATGTACGCGGTCTTACCCCTGTACTAAAGCACAGAGAGAGTGTTTCCGAATGACCCATAGTGAAAATCACGTCCAAAATTGCATGGACTGACTGTTGCTTCATAACAAAGAAGCGCAGACAGTTTAGTGAGTCATTTTACTTTATTCCATCATATTCTCAATCCAAAAAATAATGAATCTTTGGCTCCATTGCAAATGATGGAAAACAGCCAAGCAAAATCCAAATTAAAAAAAATGATCTAGCGACCTTAAAAACAGGAACTAGGAAGGGCCGAAGGGTACATGGAGGCGGAGGAGAACCAGCGGTGGTGACCTATGATGGAGACTTGACCGACAGGTTGAAGAGCCTAGGGTTCTCACTGGCGGCTTAATATTCCGGGTTGGATTAGCGAATTACGGAATCTGGGCAGCGCCATGATGACTATCAAATGCCTAATTAATTCCAAGTTAAGCCTTGGAAGTTTCAGTCGAGTCAATTGAGCATGGCGTCACTCCACCGCCATGACAACTAGTCGGCGCCTAAGCGATGCCGTAACAACTATGTTGAGATCATATAGGAAGCAAAAAATTTAAGGATGGAGCGAACAGCACAACTGCAAACAAATAATGTGTGTGGTTAACACTTAATACTCATCAAAGTGGAGAAATTAATGATTGTATGGAATACGGGAAACAGATAACTCAGTAGTATTCAGCATCTTAAAGATGGTCGAGAGCACCTCACACTCCCTAATCTCTTTCTGCTTCACCTTAACCTATTGCTCTTTTCTACCATTTTAGCTTGCGAATTTGGTTTTCTATTACATTTTTCTAACTATCCAACCATTCCTTGGTTTGGTTTGGTTTTTACTTTTTTATCTAGCTATTTCTAAATCTGTATAGATTTTTTATTTTGCATTGGTTGCTTTTCTTGTTGGTTTCTGCCAGGAATTCATCCGATTATACCATGGAGATGCTTATGATGTCCACTGGAGCTTTGATTAACTAACTGCTTGCAAAGCTTTCTTCACTGATGTTCGAATACAGATTCTAACCATAACACTTGAGCTGCTTCTCCTACTTGCACCATATGGACCATCCATTCTGGTACGCTGTTGGAACTCCTCTACTATTCATCATCCTCAATCTTCTTCTTGCCTAGTCAAGGTGTATTCCATGGTGAAGTTTCGGCCACTGGGAGGTGAAACCGCACTGGAGGAAGGCTGTAAGGTATGATGGATGACTGAACATGAGACTCCCCTGTTTCCGGATATGGTCAGACCTTCGTTGAATGACATTAGGTGTTTAATGTATTTTATAGCTCGTACAATCCCTAGTAACCGCAACGAAAACAGAGGGGGGAGTTAGTAGTGTGGTGATGCCGGTGGATAGAAAGAAAATCACAGGTGCATCCATTCAGCTCTTGACTTTGGTTCTGCCATGGCTGGATTGGGTTGTTTTAGTGGAGGCTGTACTACTGAAATTGACATTAGCATCTTGTTGGGGTCTGGTAAGTACCCGTTGCTGATTAGGAGTTATAGCTTTGTGTTTGCGACGGTTTCTCTTGAGCTCTTGTTTTGAAGAACAATGGTGATTCCTTGATGAAAGTTATCTTCTGAGTTAGATACCGGAAATGGAGTCAGCTCTTTTTATTTTTTATGCTTTGACATGGGCCTGTCCCGTGCCATTTTGGGTTTCCAGATATTATGGTACTATGTATTTAGAGAGATAGACAATACATATTAATTAATAAATAAAATATTTCTCTTTATTTGAACGGTCTTACATGTTTTTGGTAAGTTTTTCTTGACAACGTCAAGAAGAACGTCTAGATGTAGGCATTGTGGTTGACATTGTTGAGAAAGAGTTACCAAAAACATATAAGACTGGAAAGAATGAAAGAGAAATGTCAAAATTTTATTTGTGTGACTATCCCTCTCATGCCACATGTGCACCGTGCACATTGTAGCATTGGAGTCATTTGGAGATGCTCTTAGATACCATGCACTTAAGTTAGATTAGTCTAGCTCAGATAACTTTAAGCATACAAATGTTATTTTTGGATGCTTATCTATATTTACATTTCATCCACACACAAAATAAAGTTATCAATAGAGATCACCTCATTTTCCAAACTGAGAGACAGCTTCTTCTCTTTCTTAGTGTTTTTGCCTTAAAAATACATGGTAAAACAACTTTAATCCACACATGACCAAAACATGACTCTATAGTTCACTTTAAAAAAATAGTGAATAACCATACTTACAAGAGTAGGCTTGAAAAGATCCTTTAAGAGAGTGCGCTCCTAGATTTACGTGCCTCAAAAAATCATTTATACTGAGAGTGTAAACCAGTGCTTATCCGTTAAAAGGACTTCAAAATGAGTTATTTTTAAATTATTAGATATTAAAAGGAAATAGATGAGGAGGAGTAAGATACGATAACTAAAGTAACATAATCATAATGCTGAGTGAGGCAAACAACTAAGATTGAAATTTAAGTATTTAAACACATTTTGTACTTTCAAGTTTTTCAACAATGACACTTCAGGACTTACGGGCTGAAAGCCTGCGAGGTGTACTCCAGGAGCTTCATAGCACATATATCACAAGAGAACCTAGTAGACAAAAGAGTTCAAACTTTCAGTCACATCCTAAGAGCAGTTAAAGGGAACAAGCTGTAGTCAGTATCACCACTCAAAAGAATAGGTAACAGAAGCCAACCTTATCCACATTAGACACATAAGTGTTTACCAATACACTAATTCACACATTTTGGGAGTTCACCAGGTTTTGCAATAAGGTAACTAATGTTTTGACGATATCACAAATTTAAGCAGCAGTAAATTTCAACAGTTTGTGATTTCATGGTCTTACAAACTTACTATGCTAGAGCATCCGCCACATTAGTTCATTCTTTCAATGTTGGAGAGTATCATCGAGTGATCAACTTCTAATTTCCTTAACTATATGAATAACCATAACTTAGTTTGGTTTTGGTTTGCAATTTATAGCCCGTTTGGTAAACTTAAATTGGCTGAATCGGCTGAATCTTCTTAAATTTCTGATGTTCTGACTTAAACGGCTGAATCGGATGAATATGCTCAAATATGAAAACAATTATATTTAAAATACAAAGTAAAAATAAGAGTAAGGAAAAAATATATGAAAAAAAACTAAAATCATCCTCTCAGCAACTTATGTTGATTCAGAAGAGTAATGAAGACTTACGTATTTTGTTTATTACATTATTTTGTTTGATAAGGCAGGTAAGCCAAAAATTAGACCGGAGTTTTGTTCCGGTTAAATCAGTTGCATTAAAAATATTCATAATCTTAAAGTTTTAATATGAATAGCTTACAAAACGAGTGAAGTAACAACACTGAGAATGATTACAGTAAAATGAATGCAAAAACAGCAGTGGCGAACATGTAATCTTTCTGTAGCTGATATGAAATAGTGAATACCAAATGACAAAAAACGATGATAGTCATTAATCATTATAAGCAATTCTAATCGATGAACAGTAGAAAGATATAAAGCTCTCGGGAACGCGGAGACACCGAACCTGGGGAGAAATCGGGCGTAGAAGCTGTTAGAAGGAAAGGTGCGAACTCGAGTCACTCGACAGAGAGATGTCAGGGCACCGCTCATGTCCGGCTTGGAAGGAGTAGGAAGTGGGTATGGACCTATCCGTATTTGTTGATTGTGATTTGTGACTAAGGACTCCCGCTTGTTTTTCCGGTGCACATCGACTAACCTTTGCTGTTCTCTTCTTTTTCTCTTTTTGAAAGGTGTTTTGACTTTTAAATTTCGGGCCTGCTCCGCCACCTCCCAAATGTCTAAGCGCGTCCCTTTTATTCCAGAGACGGACAAGTCTGCCCTTTCATGATACGAACTACAAAGAACTCCTCATCTCATGTTCAATGAGCTATATTAGCGATACTTGTTGGTTTCTTCATCCCCAGCCCCTTCTTATTTTTTTGTTTACTTTTCTTATTTTAATTTTTTTTTTTCATATTCTAAAATTACGATTGTTGAATTTATTTACTTTTTTTACAAAAACTGGAGGTAACAAATACAATAACATATCTATATTTTAATAAAACTAAAAAAAAATAAGGAACAAACATATCTTTATTTAAAAGAACCTCTTCATTTTCACATAAGGATGGAAACAGGGTGGATCGGAGATGATTACGCACACAATTGCACTCTCCCTATCGAATAATTTTTCTGACCCATAACTATCTCATTACTCAACGAGTAATTTTTATTCAAATCATAATTGTCCCGACGGTATGAGTATAACCGCGAGTAATGGCTCTACTAAATGAGTCATTGATATTTGGGAAAATGAAAATTAATAATTCAACCTTTTAGCGGTCTTCTTATAATAGTCCTGCCTTTTCTTTATTCATGAATAATCCAACCTTTGCACCTTATCTTCACATGTTGGTCTCTGACTGATTGATGACCTGTTATTTCAAGTTATTTTCTTATCTTTGCAAAATATTATCTTTGTGAAAGGTGAGATTTATGGTATAATGGTTTCGAGATAAGAAAATAATTTAGAATAGCAAGTCATCAACCGGTCAGGGACCAGTGAATGAAGATGAGGTGCAAAGGTTGGATTATTCACGAATAACGAAAAGGTGGAACTGTTGTAAGAAGACCGCTAAAAGGTTGGATTATTAGTTTCCATTTTCCCTTGATATTTTAATTTAAAATTACTATTTTAAAAGGTGAAAATGGCATCGCCTAGACGATTTTAGACTTCAAACTCCGCTTAAAAGTTTCATATCTCTACAAGACGAGATAGAAGATCAGACAACCTAAGTTAATTTGAACCTAGATATACTTAAACTTAAAAATAATTATTCACAAAAAAAATATTATAATAATCAAACAAGATCATTAAAATCTATTATAAACCTTTCATTCATACATTATAATTAGTACATCCATTATTCATATTTGCATAATGAAAAGAGAAAAATTTCATCTTTTATTAATTGTGAGACAAATACTCCGTAATATATAAAAATGTAATAAAAATAACTAAAAATAAACGAGGCAGGTAATGTGGTGGACATGTATAAAACAATAACTGCCCCGTTATCCACAAAAATAAAACGGGTATTTCCTCCGTTACTCGATCAATGCGAATTTTCCCCGTTTTGACTGTGATTGTTTGGTGCGGGTTTCCATCAAATCGGTCACTATTACCAATCTCTAATTATCTAACTCTTAATTGCACAAAGTCTTTAATTTTTTATTAATATTTAATTATTTCTATGATTAATATTTAATTTCTCACATTTTTTAAATTATAAAGGTGTTATGTTATTGTTCGGCACCCACTATTCTTATACTGTACGAGAATAAAAAGTGTTTGACTTATTAAGTAGTAAACTGCATTAATTAACTAAAGATGTGGATGCATTCCGTATTAAAAAAAACTTAAGCAAGGATGTTTTGGTCAAGGATGGGTGCGCACAGCAATTAGGGAGGTGCGCCGAGCACTCCCCTTAAATTTTGTGACAAATCGACTTCCCACCTTCTTTAATGAGTTGAAGAAGTTCTCTTCTTCTTTTTTGTGACAAATTGACTTCCTGCCCCATTTTGAAAGCTTTAGGACTTGTTCACTAACACAATACTAGCTTTGTACCCGGGCGTTGCCCCGGGTACAACTCCCATATGAAATATTTACTTTATTAATTTGTGTGAATGTGAAATATATCTTTCATATGTATTTTTTAATTCTTATTGACAAAATCATTGAAATATGTATTAATTCAATATAATGATATATAATATATAATAATAACAAAAAAGTTTGGATTCATAATAAATCAGAATAACTAAATGACATAAAGACTATGTTTCCAAATTCTGGAAAATCTCTCTATAGAAAACATTTATGGTCTTGGAGGAAAATCTGCCATCTTTAGAGCGAAACAAAATCTTCAATCCTTCTTTGCTCTTGACTCTTGATATGTGTTAAGATTCAGAGTTCCATCCTAAAAGGTCAACCTGTTAGGAGGAGTAGCTCGAAACTTAATATAGCACTCAAATGCTTCTCAATTTACCGGTGTGGGACTTTATCACTCCTCCTCACGATCAGACACTTTGTCTGGATCGTGCCCTCATTCATTTTTTTCGTCGTTCGTCATTTTCATTTTTTTATAATTGTGTCATCATTTTACATAAGGGGGCCCACACCATGGATCGATTTGGCTCTGATACCATGTTAAGATCCGGGGTTCCATCCTAAAAGGTCAACCTGTTAGGAGGAGTAGCTTGAAGCTTAATATAGCACTCAAATGCTTCTCAATTTACCAGTGTGAGACTGTATCAATATGGCAACATATAATTGATCGTGAGTGAAGACATTTTTCTCTAGATATAGTCCGACCTCAGATAAAGATTGACCTTGGCTCTTGTTGATGCTCATTGCAAAGCATACCATAACCGGAAATTGCTTTCTCTGAAAACTAAAAGGCAGGGTTAGGTCAGATGGTGATAACCGCACTCTGGGAATGTGAACAGTGCCCCCCATGTTTCTTCCAGTGATGATCTTTGCCTCTAGTACATGTTTTCTGAGCTTTTGTGAGAATCAACCTGGTTCTATTACATAATCCCGTCGGTTGGTTTATATTTCTCAACAGCATAATCGGGGCACCAACCTTTAGATGCAATTCATGATCAGTCATCCCTAAGGTCGAGAGATTATTAAGAAATTCTGGTGTATACATGTCACTCTCACGACACAAACCAATGTCTAAACTAATAATGTTATCTGAGCTGAGGTATGTGGCTTGGTCACCAGGAATCAAAGATAGCATGTAGTCATTTATTTGGCGAACCACATCTAAAGTAGGTGCTGTTGGAAAAAGTGTGTTAAAATTGCATTAAATGGTCATTTTGGGGCAATTTTTGAGTGGGGTCCACTTCCGATTCGGGTCGGGTCAAAGTGGTTTCGGATTGTCCTTGTTAAGGGCTACAATTCGATACGTGGTACACTCAAAACGGATAACGGGTGAATGAAATATCGATTTTCGAAGTTTGCCCGTTGAAATGGGGTAGCAGCCGGCTGCTCTAGCAGCCCACTGCCGGCAGGATAGTCGGCAGCAGCCTGCTGCCGGCAGGACAGTCCGCAGCAGCCTGCTGCTGAGACGTCTGTTGCAGCCCACTGCTGGGACGTTACAACTCCATAAATGCCCAACGTTCCTTTGCAATAAATGGACGGTTTTTTGGACTAGAATCAATGCCAACGTGCTGGACATTGATTACCAACGTTCATATCCATTAAACCTCCATTAAACACACAACAAATCTTCCCTATAAATGGCTGCAGGTGGTTTGCAACAATACACAACACACAATACGAACTTCACGTGTTTTCTAGCTCAAATACACCTCCAGTCACTCTGAAAAATTCCTGTGTTCTAAGCCTTGTTCTCGTTCGTTGGAACTTTAGTTTGAGTGCTAAACTATTGTTCGAAGTCATCGTATCCTGGGAAACGATCGTTGCAACGCTCCTAGCACCCCGGGAGGCGACGAATACGTTTTAAGGAAATCGTGCTTGGCACGAGCTTTGGCTTATTCTGCTTCATCTCATTTCTCGTTTTTCCTTTAAGTCATTTTATTTAATTAATTTTATTAATTATTTTCTTAGTTTTTCGAAACACACCCTACAATCTTAAAACGTATTCGTTTTTTTAAGCTTGTATCATACGGATACAAACTTAAAACGTATTCGGTGATTGTTCTACTGCGGTAAACAATCTTACACTTGTAGTTTGTCACCTTGGTGAACGAACTTGTTTTTGTGTTTCCGAAGAACGTAAGAAACGGAAAAATGACTTCTCAAGAAAATGAAAATGTTGTTGGGCAGAATGCTTTGAACGGTTTAAACGATAATCACTCTGAAAGCGGAGCTCCGGTGAACAATAGTTCACAACGCGGTGCATCTGCTTTGGTTAACCAAAGGGCTATCCCTATGGTGACCGTGCCGAGCAACTCTGTGGAGAAACCCGAAAAATTTAACGGGTTGAACTTTAAGAAGTGGCAGCAAAAGATGCTCTTTTACCTCACTACTCTCGGCTTGGCAAGGTTCTTGACCGAGGACGCTCCGGTTGTAACCGGGGGTGAGGTGGATGTGCAATCTTTCAACGCGGTTGAAGCTTTGAAGCATTCTGACTTCCTATGCCGAAACTACGTGTTGAACGGGCTGCATGATGCTCTGTACGACGTGTATAGCAAATTAGCTACGGCTAAGGAGCTATGGAATGCTTTGGACCACAAATATAAGAGCGAGGATGCCGGTGCAAAGAAATTTGTTGTCGGTCGATTCCTTGATTTTAAAATGGTGGATTCGAAGACGGTCTTGAGTCAAGTTGAAGAAATGCAAATGATATTCAACGAAATTTGAGATGAAGGAATGACGGTTAGCGAGTCGTTCCAAGTGGCGTCAATTATACATTTGTTGCCGCCGACTTGGAAGGATTTCAAAAACTACCTTAAGCATAAGCGAAAGGAAATGAACTTGGAGCAATTGATCCTCCGTCTTCGGATTGAAGAGGATAACCGGAAGAACGATGGGAAACTCCCAATTGTTCATGGCGCCAAGGCAAACGTGGTGGAGCATGCAAAAGGCTCCAAAAATAAAGGCAATGGGAAGAGCAAACTCGGTCCCAAAGGAGGCGTTTCCAAACCCAAGTTTAATGGAAAATGCTTCAATTGCAACAAGAACGGACACAAGTCCTCGGATTGCAAGGCACCAAGGAAGAAGAAAGACTCCCAAGTCAACTTGGTGCAAGGTGGGCAAAAGGATGAAGACATCATTCTTGCGGCCGTGGTGACCGAAGTCAACCTCGTTGGATCCAATTCCAAGGAGTGGT